TCTTCCTTACAACCTTATTAAATGCTTTCTCAAGATCCACAAAAGCACAGAAAATCCTCTGGTTAGCAGCCAGAAGCTTTTCCGTGATCATGCGGTGAGAAAACATTTGATCCGTGCATCCTCTTCCAGGTCTAAATCCGCATTGTGCCTCCCATAGAAATCTTTCCGATTTCTCTTGCATCCTACGTGTCAAAACCTTCGAGTAAACTTTACTTGCTAAACTGGTCAAGCTGATCGCCCGATAGCACCCGCAGTGAAAATGTGAACCTTTACCTTTATATAAAGGCACAATGACTGCGGATCGCCAATCATCCGGGACATCCCCCGTCCGCCAGCACAAATTGCACAGCAGATGAAAGCTGTCCCAGACGCGAGGCCCACCATACTTGACCATTTCAGCAGTAACTCTGTCTAGTCCCGCAGCGTTACCACATTTCAAACTTCGAATCACACGTTCAATCTCTTTCATACTGATGACCTCAGTGTCATCGAGGTCCGGGTCTGGCGTACCAGTCACGGCGTCATCCCCGGATCCCTCACTAAGATCATCACACGCATACATTTTTCTATAAAATTCGCTCCATCGCTGCATGACGTCCGATTTTTCTGAGAGGACGTCATTAGTTCTCGAAACCACTTTGTTCAATATATTATTCAATATGTTTACGCCATAACGCTGATTTCGGGATTGACGTTAGAGGGCGCGCAGCTCGGCGATACCGGTTTGAAGTTCGGCCGAGCGTAGCAAGTGGCGCGCGGGTCGCAAGCGCAGCAGTCGTCTGCCAGGTGTGCTTGGAACAGCACGCTGCCAATTTTTTGCGGGAACCGCGGAATAGTTAGGGCGTCTAGTAAATATCCCGTCTAGGATTTATAACGCGCATTCCCTGTTTGGATAGCCTTTCCCGGGACTTATTGGGTCCGACTCAGAATCTGTATAAGTGCATTCGACAATAAAAGCTAGTGCGGCCTCTGATATTCTAGAACTAATTGTTGCAACGCGAAACGGTAGCGACCTTTGGTCCAGAGGCTCCGTGTGTGTTTTGTGCGGTAACCTTATACCCCGCGATAGTTAGTGGCTTCTGTAAGTTAGTTAATCGCACGATAGAGTTAATTGACTGTCATCGTGACGAAAGAGGAAAGTGATTGTGGTCCGGCGCCGAAGCAGTCTGAAGCGGTGCAGCATTTTGGAGCAGCTTGGAACTCGGCAGCGGCTGGTCGCCTATGCTTGACAAGGCCCCACACATTCACCCCTCACTGAACACTACTCTCCATCCACTATTACACACACTCACGGCCTGCCAAAGCCTTGGTGCGAAGTTAGCTTCGGATAATGGTAAGTACTATGTCCTTCTAATGTCCTTCCATCTGGTTTATTGTAATTAGAAATTTCCACGTGGCCACATTGAGGCCCGACCTACGTTTGCTCGGGAAGTCTTCTGCTCATGGGCCCCAGAGGATTGGATCCTTTAAGGGAGCAGCCGTAGGCCGTAACACAATATTTAATATCATTTTACCCATTTTAAATAAACGCGCGCCAATGTTCGACCTCTTCGAGCACATAATCGATACGCGGCTTTATTTGAAACGCATTTATGGACGAAAAATAAGCTTAACTTTTATATTTATTCGTATAGGGTGGATGCCCCTATTACCAGCCTTTTAGTGCCAATTTCAATTTCCTTTTGTGTACCTTATGCCAGCATAGCATGGGGCTATGCCTTTTGAGTTTTTGGTAGGTACCTATTGTAGGTATGTTTAAGGGGCACTGAAATAAATTCATAACAACTTTTAATTTTAAATCATGCATGTCACAAGCATGGAATATGTATTGAGATAGACGACAAGAATTATTTTATTTTAATGTTTTACTTCTTACCTTACTGTGGTTTAGCTTTAAGCAGTTGCATTTTTCTTTTAACTTTTTGAATCCTCATCATCATTTCAGCCCTTCACAAGTCCAGTACAGAACATGATCCTCCATAGACTGCCGTAAAGCATGGTCCTGAACCACTTTCGTTGTTATGGAATTTTTCATTTATGTTCTTAAGTTAAAGTAAAATTAGTATTACTAAGTTGTAATCAATTACATTTATTGTTTTTGTCTTTCTCAAAAAATAATTAAATATTGTATGGTGTTCTTAACATATAACAAATGTCAGAAAAGAAAGTACGTATCATTGGTTAAACTTTTAAATCAAAAACCAATTCTAAAATATAGATGAATTGATCATAATTTCTTTTACTATAAAACAAGTTATGTTCCAATTAATGGTATTTATTACAGTTTATGACAGTCCTGATTTGCGGCTGACATTAAGCACTCCATATATTTCGTATATCTAATTACAGTCCCATTAATTTCCACTAAAATAAAATAAAAAACTTATAGATTTAAACAAAAATAGCTGCATTACTATGTCTATAGTCACATTCATACAAATGAAAAAGCCTAAAGATGAGCTAATGTAAAATATGCTTAATTGTATCGGGACCATAACTTGTCAACAATTTGGAAAATGAGCGTTTTTCGTTGCGTACCTGTTTTGATTTTTAATTTAACACTGTTAGGTTTAAAACTATGAGGTAATATTTGAAATATACTTTCCTATAGTTACGAAGAATTTTTAGCCGACAATGTTTGTAGTTAAGACTACTAGAAATCTCATTTACTAATTAAAAAGGCGGAAAGGCTGGAACCACGCCCCTAAGTGGCTGGTATTAGGTGCATCCACCCTACCCGGGGTTTTTCATGTTTCACTACTCGGGAAGAGCCTCAAAGTTTAAAATAAAATCTTTTTCTGGCTGAAGCACGTTTGGCGGGAGTGGTGACGGGCTCCGCGAGCGCGTGCAAGCCGCGTCTTCAATATATTCTGCGTCCGCCTCCATTGCTGTCTGAGCGTTGACTGACGCGTGATTGACGAAATGCCATTACACGTTCAATCAAAATTCGTGACTGATAGTTGATTGACGTAAAAATCAAAATATCCAGATATTTGTCAATCAATTCCATGCAACCGTCAATCGACCGCATTACACGGTAGGTTATTCGTCAATCACAACCATGATTGTTGTAAAACTGACAGCAAAACCTACCGTGTAATGGGCGTCTTACTCTCGGGCATATGATGATATTAGTATATCCATTTTGAAAACGTTAAACCTGCTTGACACCACAACCTGTTAATTATTGTGTTGCTGTTTTCATTTTATTAACGATTTAATAATTTAGAAAAAAAAGAAAAATAGCTGGTGGATTTTAATAGAGTTTTGAACTTTTTAAGTATTATTAATACGAAATTTTGCAAATACTTGCAGGATCTTTCCGTGATTACCGCATTGAGCAGCTGAGCATGGAGGTTCCGGCTAATGAGCGCAAAGCCGATACTATCGCACTAGTAATGCTGCTCCATAACTTTAGTGGAAGGCTTAGCAAAAGGAGCAAAAGGAATCCTGCCACTTTTACAAGAGTTTAAGTATTTCTGTTGGTACCTTTACGTTGGAGTGTCAGATAGAATCATTCTTAATATTCTACTTGATTGTCTTGGAATGTCAAAGGTGTAAGAGTGTACACGCTGTTTTTGCACAGAGCGATTTCGGACTGAAAACTAAAATGAGTTTTTTTGTTAGATTGTTATAGCAAGAAATAACAGGGTTTTATCTCTAAAAATAACATTTATGTAATCATATTTATAAAAAAAAAACATTTAACAACATTATGAGCGAAGCAAATCTCGAAACTGTAAAGAGTTCTATGGGATTCAGAAGGAATCCTTTTGAATAATTACTATAAAAAGGTGTAATACTTCGACATAATAATAATAATAATGTCCCCCAGACCGAATTTCTGTCACGGCGGCCAGTCTCAACGGAGACTAGACTTCAGCGCAGGACAGGATTATAGTGCCCAAGTGTATGCACAAACACAGATGCACTAACTTAGTCCGATGGGATGGTAAACCGACACGACCGGAGAGCAATTTAACAAATATATTTAAACTTATTCTTGTGACCTTTTCAGTGACATCCACTATTTTCAACTAATAATTAGTTTTTTAAGGATTTTAATTAGAGGAAGCTATTATACCTATACTTTTGAAAACATTTACATTTAAGATCAGAAGAATTTATTTACTAATGAGCATAAAATGGCTCTGTCATTTTATGTACATGTCGTAGATTTCCAAATTTTTCAAAAAAATTAAATGTGTAATTAAATCTTAACAACAGACAGCTGACACTTTAGCAAAAAGGTTCTTTTAACTGATAATACAACGTCTCAATCTTGTAGAATAAAGGACACAATAACAATGCGTAATAATACAATTAAATCACAACCAACTCCAAAACTCAATTATTCCAAATCTGCTCCAAAAAACAAACAAAATCAGATAGCACTTCCGTAACTATAAGTTGTCGACAAACCGACTTATGATTAGATACGCAATCGATAACTATCACTATCCCATCTCTTCAAATACCATTGCCTTACTCTCGCCTCTTGAATGTAACTAACACCACAAAATTTAAACTAAGATAAGAAGAAAAAAGTGTAACGCAGATATCCCATTTGTCTGTTACGTTCAACTAGAATAGGCACCAGAACAACTTCTATACGTACTTCTGATACACGGGGATGAAATACGATCGCCATCTGCATGACTCCGGACAGCTACTGAGAATTTCTTGACGGAAAAACTCAATAACTGACTTTTTGGCCCGACCCGGGATTCGAACCTCATGATCACTAGTGGCACTACTACAAACACTAAACCAACGAGACTGTCAATTCAAGTCAGTCAAGCCGTGCCGTCAGAATTCTTGAATAATTGAAAGAAGGCAAAGGCGCCTGCTAACGCAAGACAACGCGATTGTTTACAGGACAGAGCACATGTTGCGATGGCTGCTGTAATAAGAAAGAGCTTTGATATTTTGGAACACCAACCCTAAATAACTGGACTATATATATCGCAATTTCCGTCAATGGTGATCGATATCGGGCCATGTTGCAAAATTTTGTAAGGCCAGCCGTGGAAATCCATCCGCAAATATGGTTCCAACAGGATGGAGCCACAGCGCACACTGCGAGGGCCACAATGACTCTTTTACGCGACATCTTTGGTGAAAGAATAATTTCTCGTAACAGCAATTTTAATTGGCCTCCGCGTTCCCCGGATTTAACCGCTCCAGACTGTTTTCTTTGGGGCTATTTAAAAGGAAAAGTTTATGTTAATAAGCCCAGGACTATTGAGGAGTTAAAAACCAATATTCGAGAAGAAATTAACAACATACCACCGGAAGTTTTGCGAAAGGTCATGGAAAATGTGTTGGAAAGAGCACATTTGTGCGAAGCAGAATATGGCCACCACTTGCGGGATATCATTTTTAATAACTAATCCAAAAATATTCCCCATAAATTTAATGTATTTAAAAAAAAAATTAAAAAAATATCTCTTAAATAAAAAGTTATAAGCAATTCACACCACTTCGGTCTTTCTGGGCCACCCTGTATAAGGGCACATAATTTTTAGTAAAATTTTGTAGTTCTTGGCATCCACTTGTAAATGATAAAAATTAAAATATAGTAAAGATATAATTCACTAAGACTGAATATAACTTCACTGTTGTTTAAAGGGCTTTGATAGAACAAGTGGTACACTAATTAGAAATTCAAGCACAAGTGACATTTCTCTAAACTTTAAAGCTTTAAGTGTAATACTGGAGAAAGTTTTGCGTTAACTTGTATAATTTGTATTTGGTCCGTACTTTATCTAACTTATTAATATCAAAGTATGTATAGTACGATTTGAGTTTAATTTATATTAATATAATTTTGTACGTGTGTAAGGAACTATATCCAAACATGCGTTGCACGCTTTCACACGGGAACGCACGCACTTATACGCGGCCCCAACGGCGCTGGCGCCCCCTTACCCTTTTCTTTCTCAGGTAAGTCACTTCAAACACTAACGTTTTCCTCCGTGGCATCCAACACTACCTGCGTAACAGACACTCCCTGAGCCTTATACGCGAAGGTCATGGGACCAGGCAAAAAACGAGCACTCGGAAGCAGCTTTCCTCACCCCAGTGGCGGATTTAGTGTATGGCTCCGCCACCAACCAAGTTTCAGCCGCGGAGAATAGAGAGAGCGGTGCCTTTCAAAAGCGATTCTCCTTTCCTCCGTGGCTCTACCACCACCGCATCAACGGTGTGGCCCCGCCAGAGTCGCAGAGGATAGAGTGAGTGGAGCATTGCCACACTAGACATCTCTCTCGCCGCACACCACAAACACACATCCGAAGTGGGCCAACTCGGAACGACTCTTCACCTCGGGTCAGCCATGTGGGTTCCTCTTAGTTCAACATGGGTGACCAAGCCACAGTTATTTAGCCACGTTGCCACGGCAAGGCGGAATCCCGTTCGAGAAGATGGGTTGCATCCTGCTGCAATCACATAAGATACATATGTTTCCGCATAGATCTCCAGATCTGTGTGTTCAGTTATTTGTACGCTGTCATATCTATCGTAGACAGCAGTCACTGCCATGAAAACTACCATAAGATAATCGGAAAGTTTTTGGGTTTTTCTTGAAGGTCCTGAAAAACATAGCTCCAATCGCATTGACAGTTTCCACGAGCTTATTATGAATTCGTACAATACTGCAATTTGCTAGGCATTGAAAACGATTTTATAATTCAAAATAAGATAAAACAATACACCCACCACAAGCCAAAACTGGTAATAGTAGTAAACCTCTTTTCTGCTTAGGAATGTGTCTGGGTTACCACCTTCTTAACTATTTCTGTCCCCAAATAGGTACCTGCTTTGTTGTGTTCCGTTCTGGAGGGTATGGATCTTCCTTTTTCTTATTTCTTCTCGGTCCAAAAACGGTTACACACGGCAACACGCTACGCATCGCTGCCCAAGGTACAGCGTAAGCACTCACAATTTTGAAAATGCAAGAAAAATCAAGCAGAATATTATGTATGATTAGAGCAACAGAGGTTTAGGTTGAGGTGAGGAGTGAGGTTGGTCTTATCAACAGAAATGCTCAGAGCACAACAAAAAGTAAGTAGGTATATGGACGTGAAAGTAACGAGAAATGTTTGTCAGGATTGTGCCAAATGGAAGTCCGCAGTCTCTGCTTACGATATTTTTGGTAATAGGTTTAATTTTTTTGTTGTTATTGATGATGCTAACATTAATTCTTAGTTCATTAGCGTACAATAGTATTGTTATTTTTATTTAAATGTTTATAATTGCCTGTATAATGATTTGTTTGTAAAATATTTTTTATTTACTAATATTAAAATAGAACGCTGATTGAAAGAGAATCTAAAGCTCCAGAAAACATTTATTTAACTTAAATAAGTTTTGAACTGAAAGAAAATCCTTGTTGGAGTGATTTATCTAATTGGAACTTCCTAAATGAAAAGAATAATAGCTCAAGCTGGCTTTAAAGATGGTTTATTAAGATACCAAAGTAATTTTAACTTTCCCTATTGGAAAAAAAATGTTGTATTTTATTTTATTCCCCTACTGATATCGGACCATATCAAAACTTGGATTGGTGTGTGGTGAGTGGTTGTGTCTTTAAATAAATCTTAACTCAATATCCTCTTAAAGTTGTGAAAATTTAAATGATACACCATATATCATATATGTTGGGCTGTAATATGATTATAGTTTTATTTTTATTACTACAAATAATGTGTTTATTTTTTACATACTTTTATTAAAAAAAATTGTTCTCTACTGCGCTAATACGTTACTATATAATATATACGGTACTACATAGGAGATAATTTGATCATTTCTTTAATTCTTCTTTACAAATAGTAAAAGAAAGACAAATATCATAAGGGTCATATTCTGTATTACCATTAGTAAAGTAAGAGTTCAATCACGATGTCTGCTGCATCTTTAATTTCACTTGTGGTTTATTACTTATATAAATATTGAGAAGCTTACAATATATAAGACAATAAACAGTATACATAACCAAATAAAATATAAACAAAATTAATTTAAAATTATTTTAACAGTTTAAAAATGAGCTGTAATATCTCTAAAAGCTTTTAGAAAAATTTACTTCGCAAATATCCGCGTTACATAATAAAATGATGTGTCTTACCTAGTATGAAGAGCACCTCCCGCCCTCCCTTAATTGCGTGCACTATCCCCGTCACCACTAATCCCAGCACCGCTACTGCCAACACCAATACACTAGGCAAGACATACCACTAACGATAATACGACACGTGTTTCGCCTCTACACGAGGCATCAGTAATTAAACCGGAAATAGTTTTGTTTCATACAGAGAGAGGTTAAGTTAAGAATATCATTTGTTTCCCCGGGGTATAGACGACGTTTTTCAAAGAGATCTGCGAGTATACGCAAACAGTCAGGGGATGGGACATTTGTGAAAATACTATCAACGTCTAAAGATAACAATATGGATTTAGGAGGAATACGAATATCCTTAATTTTGTAAATGAGATCTAAGCCATTTTTTAGGCTGTACGTGGGGTTGAATCCGGATTTCTATCGAAGGAGGAAGTTTAATTTTTAAGTTTAAGTTTATTTCTAAAGCTCAGAATATTTGGCTTAATGAGGAGTGTCGTCGTTAGTTTTCCAACAGATATAATTTAAAAATCCACCTTAAAGTATTATACTCTGAACTTTCATATAAATTACATAATATTGAATTTGATATTTTGGATGGGAAAGCCAGAGAACTTGCTTCAATGGCTGTTTATGAGAAATATCAAATTCAGTCCCGTAAATTACAATGGCTTGTATCCTCTTCATTCCGTAATCGTAATAACGACATACATACAGAATATCACCAATTTTATCCCCGACTTAAAACTCTTTCCCATGTCCAGTTTCCAACAGATGAGTTGTCCCTTATACATCAAGGCCTAAAGTATAATTTAACACCTTTGGTCTCCCAAAAATCGTTAGAGACTATGGCTGTTGACGCGGAGATGGCTGTTGTGATCGGGAAGAAAGATAACATCGTTAAAAGTTTGGTAGCTAATGGTAATTCGAGCTGTGCCCGCGTCTTCCCATTTCAATCCAGAGTTACCTGTTTTTAAGTCCCTAAAGCAGAGAATAAGGAAAACGACCTTATTGTTACTAAAGCCGATAAAGGCAACACTGTTTTCATTATGGAGAGTAGTGGGTACAACGAGAAAGTTAACGATGTTATCCAAGGTGATGACTTTGTGCTATTGGAGTCTGACCCAACCAAAAAGTTTACTTCGGATATTAAGTTATGTATACAACAGTCATTATATGTTTTTCCTGATCACAACTGGTCTCGGAGCAATCTTGTTCCAATGAATCCTCAAGCACCCATTTTATATGGGTTACGAAAATACATAAAGAACATGTTCCTATTCGTTCAGTTGTCTCATATATTGGTGCACCAGCTTATGTCCTTGCTAAAATATTAAACTTCCTCCTTCGAGAGAAATCTGGATTCAACCCCACTTACAGCCTAAAAAATGGCTTAGATCTCATTTACAAAATTAAGGATATTCGTATTCCTACTAAATCCATATTGTTATCTTTAGACGTTGATAGTATTTTCACAAATGTCCCATCCCCTGACTGTTTGCGTATACTCGCAGATCTCTTTCAAAAACGTCGTCTACATCCCGGGGAAACAAATGATCTTCTTAACTTAACCTCTCTCTGTATGAAACAAAACTATTTCCGGTTTAATAACCGTTTCTATCTACAAAAAGAAGGGTTAGCTATGGGGTCCCCTGTAAGTCCCCTTATTGCGGACATTTTCATGGATAATTTCGAAAAACAACATATATTTGTCAATCAAAATATCTTACATTACTATCGATATGTAGACGACATAATTATTTGCTGGACTGGCACAAGGAGACTACTGGATGTTTTCCTCAATAAAATAAATAGAGTCCATGACAAAATTAAATTTAAACTTGAATTGGAACAAGATTGTTCCCTTAATTTTCTCGACTTAACGATAACAAGAAAAGAATCGTCACATGTTTTCCAAATTTATCGAAAGTCAACTCACACCAACACGGTCATCCCCGCGTCATCCTGTCATCCGTGGCAACATAAAGTAGCTGCTTTTTATTGTTACATTAACCGTTTGTTCACTGTCCCATTAAGTAAAGAAAATTATTTAAAAGAACTTAATATAATTTATCAAATAGCGGTCTCTAACGGGTTTTCAAAAAATCTCATTAACAATTTAATTAAAAAGAAACAAAAGCATGTTGTTCGCAACTCTCTGTACGCAGTTGAACCTCAAAGTGTTCATCGATATGTGAGCAGTTTGACCTACTTAGGCCCCATATCTGAAAAAGTAGCCAATACTCTTCGAAAAAACGGCGTTTATGTGGC